TATAAAGGATTCAAGGAAACCCCCCATTAATGTTAGAATATGGTCTGAGCCATAGGGGTTAGGAAGTAATTGCTTTTGATTCTACTGGTATTCATCTTATTTTGTGGCGTGTTACAGTAATGATTTTGGTCTTCTGATTCTGGTATTAGTGACAGGATATTATAACTGTGTTATTAACTGTTGTTTGTTTGGTTGAATTTAAGCCTCTGTCTTTGCCTCAAATGTTGTAACTCTATGGAGTATGTCTGGGGGATCCCGTTTGTGTGTGTGTGTGTGTGAGAATATGAGATAGATAATGGAGAATCAGCAGAGTGAAGAGATCTTGAAAAAGAATCATTTTGGGTGCATTTTGGCAGACTGGAAAGAACTTGGAAGGTCTCCTGTGGGCTCGGTAAGTCAGAAAATATTGGTAAAGTGCTGTAACCAATGGTGGCCTTTGTATACTTTGGAAGATCAGGAAAAATGGCCTAAAAATGGAACTCTGAACTATAATACATTGTTACAATTAATGTTGTTTTAAGGGGGCAAGGAAAATGGGATGAAGTAATGTATGCAGATATGTTTTTCACTTTAAGAAATCACACAGAGTGACAGACTGAATGCAAAATTAATATAGCTCCACCAGATTCCTTAATTTTGGCTTTGGAAAAGGACAGGGAAAAACTGAAAGTTAAGCTGGAGATGCTCAGCCTGTGATATTGGGGAAAGATGTTTAAAGTTAAAAAACAGTAATCAGGAAGATAAGGTGGAAAATCACGTACCACAGGTACCTCCGAGAGGAGCACCCTCTGCATCTGTCCTATCTGATATTGATAAGGAGGAAGAGATTTCTGTCACTGGCAACAAGCGGCACATCCACATTCAGAGTTAAGAAGGGGTTAAACCAGAAGCGCTGTTGCAGAGGCAGGCATCTGCAGGCCCTGCAGAGCAGGGGGAGCCGCTGTGAGAAGGAAAAAAGGGAAAACCAAGGGGGAAAGGAGGGGAGCTCGAGCAGCTCCAGTGTTTGAGCGTGGGAGGAGGGATGTCGGGAGGAGGTGGGGGAGTGGGCTCCTCTTCTGTGGGACCGGACCGGTGTGCGTGCTATGGGGGGTTTTGGACGCTGGAAGTGAGACTGCCTCATATGATTAATATAGATGGTATCATAGTTCAGTGGTGGCCCGTTCCTAAAGGGAAAGGATGGTATTGGTTATGCGGAAAAAATGCTTATAAGATTTTACCCCCCAAATGGAAGGGGGCATGCACCTTAGGTGCTGTAATACCCAATTTTACTATTATCAACAGGTACCCTTCCGGGACCTGGATTAGAAGTTTTGCTAAACGAATTAAGTGAGGGTTTAACCCTATTATTGAACGGCACACCGCATTTCATAGTTTTGTAAGAAGGCTAAATGATGTAATCCATACGTAGCCTCATGAATATGTATGCATGCCCAGGGACTATATAAGGGTGGCTTGCATAGCAATACGGGGACACACGTTAGGAGGATCTATCCCCTGTGTCTCCTGGCACCACAATAAAGAACACCTGTTTGTCAGCTTGAAAACTTTGTTGGCAAGTTTGTTCCTGGAGTTTTCTACGAATCAACACACATATTTTATTCAGCCATCTCTAATTCAGAATTCGTGTAAATTTTTGTCATGGTTTAAGCCCAGCCGGTAACTCAGAACCATGCAGTTGCTCACTTACTCCCCCCCCCACTCCCTGAGGGATGGGGAGGAGAATGGAAAGAATGTAACTCCCACGGGTTGAGATAAGAACAGTCCAGTAACTAAGGTATAACTCAAAACCACTACTGCTACCACCAATATTAATAATGATAAGGGAAATAACAAGGCGAGAGAACACAATTCCTCACCACCTGCCCACCGATACCCAGCCCAACCCAAGCAGTGATTTGGGCCTTCTGGGTAACTTCCCCCAGTTTATATACTGGGTGTGATGTGCTGTGGTACGGAACACCCCTTCATCTAGTTTAGGTCGGGTGTTCTGTCTCTGCTCCCTCCTGACTTCTTGTGCTTCTCCACCCTGGCAGAGGATGAGACTAAGAAAATCCTTGATTGAAATAAACATTATTTAGCAACAACTAAACATCGATGTTATCAGCACCAGTTATCAGTTCCCAAAGTCAAAACCACAACACAGCACCAACTACTAAGAAGAAGAAAAACGACTGCTACTGCTGAACCCAGGACAATTTGATATAGCAAGTATGGCCAGAAGTAGAAACATGGAATTCCAAAGTTAAAAGCATGAGTCTTTATAGCCTGGTATCAAACTGAAAACTGCCAGATTCCCACTTGCCTTGTACTGGAACAAAAAAAATCACTAAAAATATTGAACAGATATTAAATTATTATGTACATAAAACATCTCAACTTTTAGATACAATAGCCACTGCAAAGTAAATTTCACTTTCGCTGCTTAGTCCACAGCTGGCAATCAACAGCAAAAAGGTTTGAAGGCTTTGGCATTTTGTTTCCAGCTTCAGACACTTAGGATGTTAAGTGCTAGCTACTAGGCCTCCTCCACACCAGCACCAAGGAAGGGCCTCAATACAAAGTGAAGAGCAGGTCACACAACCAGGTACCACTCAGCCGTGGAATAACGTTTCCGCAGAGTATCCCTGTTCCCGGAACAGGGCTGCAAGTCGCGGCAGTCACAAACTGATTAAGACGGGCGCGGCATAGCGCTGAAACCACAGGGTGTCCGAGTTACCTGGACTCCAAGCCAGCCTCAGGTCCCCTGAGGTAGCACAGCGAGGACCCTAGCTACTCTCGCTCGCCTCACCCCGGGACTGGCAGGCTTCGCAGGCCGAAGCTTTCCCGGGCGGGCAACTGGTCGCACTCCTTCCTGGGCTCCGCGGCGACAGACGAACACCGGGCGCCCTCTCCGGGTGAAGCAGGACACCTTCACCAACCAAGCGAGGGACTACGGCGCTGCTGGAGGTGGGGACCCGCCTCCGCTTCCGCCTGGGGTCTCTCTTTTCCTCTCTCCTTGGTCGGTTCCGGTTGGAGCTTAGTGGCTGCCATTGGCTTAGTGACCCCATCCGGGCACTCGGTGCAGCGTTATCCCTCATCGTCCTAATATGGCGGAGGTAAGCGATTTAAGGGGGCTGGAGCGTTGAGGTTCAATTGGCTCCCTGCGAGGTTCCGCCACCAGCAGGCCCCCCCTGCACCATCCCCATAAAGCGCTTCTGGGGTGACTCGGTGGTTGGCAGCACTGGGGTAGCAGGAGCCTGTATCACTAGGCCGTGTAGCGCGGGTACTGAGTTCGCAGTCTGCTAGCGGCCGACAGGCTGCAGCCGGACGCGGGTAGGGAGAACGGTAGTCACACCAGGTCTCGAGAGGGTGCGGGACGGATTAGCGGTGGTGCCGCAGCGCGGACGATGGAAAAACGTCTGGTGAGCTGGGAATGAGGAAGAGGCGGCTGGTCCATCTTCCTTTGCCTGTCCCCGTCATGTCCCGCTGAGGCCGGACGGAGTGGAAGCGTTAGGGCGGGCGCGGCTCCTGGTCGGCTTCTGGCAGGAGAGGAGGAGGAAAGGGAAGCAAGCGAGTGAAGGAGGGATGGGAGAGTGAACAGGATGCAGCAGTGAGAAGGGCAAGGGACGGGGACGGGGACGAGGCCGGTGGGGAGCGCGAAGCGGCGGGGAGGGGGGCGTGAAATAGAGGCTTCCTACCTGCTGCTAGGATGGAAGCATCTTGTGTTTCACTTAGTTTTGTTCTCTCCCCGCAGGCTTCCTTTGGGAGTTCGAGCCCAGGTTCGTCCTTATCCGTCTCCTGTCCTAGCACCTAGTCTGCTGCTCACATGCTGCTCTCTCCTTTCTGCTTTTTCTCAAAGTTGCCTTCTCTTGCCTTGTAGTTTTCCTAACACTTCATGTAACTAGTTGTCTGCCCGATTTTTTTTAAGCAAAGATGTGTGCTGTGGAGTTCTTTCCTTAACTGGTCGCAGTTAATAATTGGTTGCTTGGAACCCAAAATTAAAACAAAGTTTTGTAGCATTTTTAAGTCGGTGTCTCAATAAAAGCCATGTATCCTGAAGAGAGGCTGCTTATATTGTTGCTCATAACTGCAGGGTTGTGTAATTTTTTGATTTGGTAATATCAGAAAATGCTTAAAATCATAATGATATGTAATTATTAAGGCTTATCTGTTGTTAAGGTTCTTTGGAATACTTCACATAAGCAAGCATATTTAACATTAGCAGGGCTCCCCATGAAGAAGTATTTGGGGAGTGCATTTGCTTCTGTGTAACTGCTTTCAGCATTAGCTATTTTTAACTTAAAAATATTAGATTTATGGAGCTTGTGTTATTTTGGTTTGGTATATATGGTTTTAAATATTTTAAATGAGATACTGAGTGTTAAGAGTTACTAAAGAAGTGGGACTTTCATCTCAAGTCTGTGAGTGGACTAGAACTTTCACTTGAGTTAAACATAAAATGAATTAGACCAGTGATTAGAAGCAGCAGTCTTGAGCATACATCTATATATGTATGTAAGCATATATTAAGGCAGTTGACAGGCAATTCTTTAAAAGCCGTAGGATCAGGATGTGATGATCAACAAGAGAAAAATTCAACATGTGATGTCATAATTTGAGTAGTAGTATCAGCTTTCTTGAGACCATAATATGAGTAGCATGTGAATAAAAAGCATTTTTGGCCTCAATGTTTCCATGCGGTATGATCGTCACAGTACTGTCTTAAGCTAGCTAAATAGACAAAGCTTACTTTAATTATCTGCATATAAGGAATGGACACTTAGCATAATTGCTGAAAAATTAATTAGATGTTTTAAGACTCAGAAGTGTTAGTGTGTACAACTGTCTCCTTGAAGGCTAGAAGCAGTGCAGAGTGGTTTTGGTTTGGGTGTTTGTCTTTTTGGTGGTTTTGTTTTTTTGTTTGTTTTGTGGTTTTTTGTGGGGTTTTTTGTTTTTTGTTTTGGTTGGGTTTTTTTTTGTTTTTTTGAAAGCACTGAAAATCTGTAGCTGTTTCCTTCAAAACTTCAAAAAAATCTTACATGGAAATAATTCTTAATAAACCTTTTCTTTGCTGTTTGTAAGCCAAGAATTGCAACAGAGCACAGGTATGTAAGAACTAGAAGGGGAAACCAAAAGTGAAAGGGAAATATCCCTAGTCTGTTTTTTCATCCTGAAAGACTTAAGAAAGTGAACATTATAGAATGAAGCAACCCTATGTGCCTTTAAGAATGCTGACTTTGTGGTGCAGAATATTTGCATCTTTAAAACTTGTTGAATATAATTATAACCTTTCTAGCAGTTGACAAAATGCACTTAATAGTACTTTTTTGATTACTTATGAGTATCCTCTTGAGTAATGCAAAAGTGTGTTGGACCACAGAGCTGTCACAATGACTTGTTAATTAATGTGATCCATTAGAAGTATTTTGTTATTTCTGCTATATTTTCCTCTATATTTTTTGAAACTCTATGTTCTTCCTTAGATCAAGGGCTAAGAATTAAATTAGGTTTTTTTAAATCTCATCTGTGAGGCTAAACTAATCTGAAGTGAGTCTTGCTGCTTGTTTTGTCATTAGTAGGAAGCTGATTTGTAACTTAAGTTAGCTGTTTATCATTGAAAAACTATGCTAGTTATCATATAAATAGAATCGGTCTATAAATCAGTCTCATGCAGCATCTGAAATCTTGTAGCAATTGGATTTTATATGTTAATGATGGTTTCAGGGATGTTTTGTAGAGTCTTTTATTTAGTAAAATATTAAGTTGGGATTGTACTTTCTGAAACTTTGTTTCTCCCAAGTATTCTATACTGCAGGAGAGAACTGAACCTATTACTTCAAAGTACAAAAAGGAAAAGTCAGCTAAAATAGATGAATTTGTCAGGTAGTTAGGAATTTGTTCCAGTTATTCCATTGAGAATTCTGACCCTCTATGTAAAAATTCATGCAACCTTATTTTTTTTTTCTGTGGTGTAATTTCATGTGTTGATGTATATATATGAAAGAGAAATTACTCAAATCAGGGTTGTTTTGATAGTTGGCTCTATATCGTCTGAGGATCATGACTTTGACCCTTCTGCTGAAATGCTGGTACATGATTGTGATGATGAGCGAACTCTTGAAGAAGAGGAAATGATGGAAGAAAACAAAAATTTCGGCTCTGAAATTCAAGATTTAGAAAAGGTAAGACTGACTTGCTCTTCTAAATGTCCGTTTATGTTGTACCTCTTAGTGAAAAGATATTAGTGTTAAAGTTCAGGATCTTTTTTCATTTAATAATCTTTTCACTTTGGAAGAGAAATTGCTAAATCAGGTTTTAGAGTCCTCTCATCTAATTTTACTTCTAAGCTTAATTGTCGGAGACTCTATGTCGTCACGATGCGGAGGGAACACAGCACAATCAATATGATTGATAGAAGTGATCTGTTTATTCTGCTTAAGCCTGGGGTATATATAGAGCTAGACTGCTATACACACACATTCTTGGGAAACTCCTGTGGTTTCATTATTTACAGGCACATCCCTTTTTCTAACATCCTTGTTCTTCCCTTCAGGATACTCGTTAACTACAAGGTCAGCTTATCCTTTTGCACAGCTGGTGTTTTACCGAGCTGGGTTTCTTGCTGAATTTTACAAAACTGGTCCCTGGCCAAGTTCATCCATGGGAATGTAACCCTTGCCTGCTAACCACACTTCCACATTTAATAAGAAGAAATTATACATTTTGCATACTATTAAGTGACAGCTAGCTGTGTTTCATTCTGTTGGTTGGATTTTGTTTTTCCAATCTGGAAATACAGCCCTGTTTTGGACATGATGGATCACATTTATTTGCTACATAAGTTGTAGTTCTGTGTCTCATTTTCAACAGTTTGGTATTTGGCGGGTTTGAGATAACAGATTTAACCAGAGAGTATTAGAAGGAATTTATATTTGTTAACTGTTGCTGGTTATGATACTGATTTATCTGTTCTCAATATTAGTTTCTGATATATGTCATGTCACTTTTGTTGCTGCTGTTAAAGACTGGTTTTAGTGTTTGCTGTGCTCTGTAGCACTTTAGAGGTTTGTTTGTTTGCCTGGGAGATTTATCATTAAAACACTGTTCTTGAGCTTAATCAAGTGTTTGGGCTCTGTACTGAAGATATCACCGTATTTTGGGTGCCATCACACAAAAGACAAGTAACAATTATACTTCTTCCTCTGAAATGCTTCTTGAGAAGGAAATACAAAATGTCACCTTCATGACCTTCTGATGCTTTCCTCCCTTGTTACAATAATTTTTCAGTACCTTGAGCATCCTTGTGTAGTCAAAATACTTCTATTGGTATTTCCCGAGAATATTGTTTTGGCTTTTCCTAAGGTTAACAAGCTTAGAATATAGGCAGGTATCTAGAAAGCTTTTAATCTCAGAGGGTCTGGAACTTCACTCTCAAATGATGAAGTGGTAGAATGGGGGCGGGGAATGACAGGACCGGACACCCTGCATATTCCAAAGAGGCACAACTTATCACACTGTGCTTGGGCCTGGCCTGTACCTACCAAAAACTGATATTATGCAGCACCCTCAAGAAGAGAGAGTCTCTGGATCTGAAAACATACCAACAGACACTGTGGCTAAACCAGAGACCCAGTCTTCAACTATATCAGTTACCCCTACAACTAAAAAGAAGTCAACTTGTTCAGTAAGGGATGAAGAAGCTTCTCCTAAGAGGGTGCAGGAGAGAGAATCAGAAGAGGCATCCTGTTCTGCAGCAGATCAGTCACAAGAACAGGAGGAGGAAGGGATTGTAAATCATAAATGAGACAGAAACCACTTGATTCCTATTCCTAAGTGAGGTGTGAGATATGCAAAAAGATTTCAGCAATCGACCAGGTGAGCAAATTCTCACTGGGGGCCAATAGTCAGGAATTAGAGGGTAAGAAAGCTGCCCAGCAGCTGGGATCCCTTTCTATGAATGAGGCCATTGACAGAGGGATTGGAAAAGGCAGGAGTCTCTGGTGGTGACAGGTATCCCTTCAAGGAAGAACTTGCAAATTCCTGAAGCATATTGGTGGTGGTCCATTGGTGGTGGAGGTGATCTATAACAACCTGGTTAATAGCCATGTATCCAAAGGCCTGGATGAAATCCAGTGCATGCGGTCCATGTGGTGAAAGTTTGTATGAAGTGTACTGATGTCATATGCCAATACCCTGGCAATAATGAGCTGGACTGACATGGAGGCACTGACTATGGATGGATTGGTCAGACAACTCTGAAAATACAAAGATAATCTTACTTCTTCCCTACAGGCCTGTGTCAACTGTGGAGAAACTGACTAAAACTGGTTTACTGTTGTGGTGTTTTGCATACTTGTAGCTTGTAACTATATAGGACTGAAGTCTTCAAGTTTTTCTGCATTGCTTTCTTGTAGAGGAATTGTTAGTGTTTCTAGTATATCTTCTGTATTGAAGAAATATAGGCAAATCATGGTCTACAGTATGAATCAGATAAAGAGCAAATTTTTAACTGCTCCTTAGTTTAATCAAGTATATGGTTTTCTTCACTAGTTTGATGGAACTTCGTTATATGCCAAGAGACATGGCTATGAATTATTTCAGTCCTGTACCTGAAAATATTTTAGATCTTTACTTAAGATGACTGCTTTCAATTAATTTTTTTTGCTTGTTTTTACTTATGTTTTTAAAAATGTCTTATTCTGCTTACAAGTATTTGGCAATATGTTGAAATGTTTGTAAATACTTCTGTATTAGGAAGGAAACATGCCACTGGAAGATTTACTGGCATTCTATGGCTGTGAACCTGCAATTCCAGTTATGGCTGGTTCCAGTGCTGATAGCTCTCCAAGTGAACTTGCAGATGAACTTCCAGATATGACTCTAGATAAAGTAAGTCAGAACTGTTTTCCTTGTATTATGGTTTAAGAGCAGAAATCCATGTCACCTTAAGTTACACTTCACTACCTCTTGATGTTACAAAATGCGCATCTTTGTCAATTTCAATATACAGTTAAGAGTTGCTGTACTAGTGGAGGACTTGACAGTGTTACGTTGAAGATTGGACTCGATGATCTTAAAGGTCTTCTCCAACCTAAATGATTCCATGATTCTGTGTTGTTGTTGCTGCATAGGAGTAGGTTTTTCTGTAGATCTGTATATTTAATGTATGCGATGTTCAGAATGTATGCAACTGTAGGTAGGTAATATATTATATTATTTTTTATTATTTTTTTTACACTTTCTGTAAAGCCCCATACAGAGGGGTTCAAATAGTGGAGTATTTAACCTACAGAAACTCCTTTGTGTGTGATTTGGGAAGGTAATGGGTTGTCCGTTATCTGTAACTCTTCTCAGCAAAATTTTACAAAAGTGCCTGGGGGCTGTTTTTATTTCATTTACACACCCCCCCACCCCCCCCCAGTTTAAGAGGTAACAGCCTGTTAAAACTTAAGTATACCTGTGATGCAACGAATGACAGAATTATAAAGATTTCTACTGGCCTTTTTCTTTGGAAGCATTTGGAGGAACATTTGAGATTTGATGCTTGCAGAGGTTACTACTTGTGCATTTATTTTAATAGAAGACAAGGGGGAAATTGAACCTTTGTGTTCAACTCTAAGTAGTTATATTCTGATATTTAGGAGTGAGCTAGCTTTTTAATTGAGAGGATGGCTTGCTAAAATTACTTATGGTAAAATATTTTTAATTAATGTGACTTACAATTTGCTGAATCTAAATGCTCACCAGTCTATACTTAATAGTTGGTCTGAGATTTTATTTTTTTTGTTTTAATGATACAGGAGGAAATTGCTAAAGACCTCTTATCGGGTGATGATGATGAAACACAGTCTTCTGCTGATGACTTGACACCATCAGTTACTTCACATGAGGCTACCAACTTCTTTCCTCGGCCATTAAGATGTGGGAAACCTAATTTTAGAATAATACTCAAAAAGTCTTAGCATTTTATTTATACACATATATATATATATGTACCTTCCTAGTTTAAAATATAATTGCACAGTAGTGATGACTTTATAGGGAATTGAGAAACAGTGCTTTGCAGGATGTTGTATGAAAATGTTGTCCTTGGTTGGTATTAATGATGACCTAAAAGACCTATATTTAGTACTGTGTTCACAGCACAGATACAGTAACTTTTCATAATTAATAGCTAATGTGTTGAGGAACACTCTTTTTCTGATTTTTCAGTATGTTAGTGAATGACATGAATATGTAACTGCTTTTAGTTCGGTGTTTCTCTACTAAAACTTGCTGCTCCTTTAAGCCATTGACTCTTCCATTCAGCCTGTAGATGTGAACTTGGATGTGATTTCTTTGTGATTGTTTCCCTTCACACATTCAACAGTTTTTCATAGGACTTCATCAGTCAAAGTGGTTTTATATGGGATGGGGCCTATGAATCCATAATCTCCAGAATTTCTTTTATCTGTGGAGCTATTATGGGAAAGATCCAAGAACCAGTGGTTCGGTTTTCCAACCTGGACAAGATATTCTTCATTGCTCCAACTCTAGTACACCAGTGAACAAATGAAATACAGTAGGCAACATGGAGGTTTTTTATCATGATTTTAATTTGATGAGGATCTTGAGCTTTTTCTGGGGGATTTCTTCCCTCTAGAGAAGGGGGATGTTAAAGGAGATGTACTGTTGTCACCCCCTCCTTCCTCCTTGGGAAGATTTGCCTTCAAAGACTTGCCTACAACTTTACTTTCTTTGTGATTAACCTGGGGCTGAGTCATAGCCCGGGAAGTTTTCTGGTTTTATCATACCTTTTCTGTAAGGTATAAGCCTTTATTGAAGAAAATTGATGAAGAAAAATTATCTCATTTCCTTTTCAGTGTTAGAAGCATAGCAGATTGTCTCAGTTGCAGTAATAATAAATGTTTCAGTTTTGCAAAATACAGGTACCAGTGCTTTCCGACTTCATACTAGTCTGATAGAAATATAGATCAACGGATTCATGATGAGTGTCTCCCAGAATAAAATTAGGGGCTCCTTTCAAAAGTAAAGTATATATTGTAGTTCTTTGTTTGAACTGAAAATTCTTCCTAGCTAAAAACAAACTTCTTTGTCTCTGAAGCAAACACTATGTGTGATGGAGATAAGGAATCAGAAGGTGAAGGCGTAGAGGCAGACAGTGGTAATTCATCTGAAGAGTTGAGAAAGGTAATAACTATACCTTTAAAAAAGAAGTTAAGAAAAGCCTTGCTATTAAGAAAAATGCATTAAGATTTTATAGTACCTTAATTCTGGAGTTCTTTGCAAAATGCCATGTTAATGGAATTTATAATGCTTCAATACACAGAATATTTAGCTAATACCATTCTCTTGTGACTTTTGTTACATCCTCAGGAAATAATGGTTGGTTCGCAATATCAAGCTGAAATTCCACCTTACCTTGGCAGATACCATAATATTGAAAGGGGTAAGTTCTTCTGACTGTTTTACTTTTTTTTCTAATTTATACAAACCAGTTGATGGAAAAAATGTTCCTTAAATTTATAAGATAAATTATTGTAATATAAATTAAATGGCTTAGTTAAAGTCTTGGAGACATTTAAAAAAAATAAAAAAAATCCCACAAAAAACCTCAAAGCCCTAAAAACCTAACCCCCCCAAAAAAGAGAAATAAAAAAACCCCAAACCCGCCAAGCAAGCATGACTGAAGTAACACAACCACATAATTATATCTCAGAATTGTGATTCTGCAACTTCGAGAGGAAATTCTCAAGAAAACCTAGGAGGATGGATTGCAGTGTTAATTCTGAAGTATCTAGTAATATTAGGAGGCAACAAACTGTTTCAAGAAGGAAATAACTGGGCTATGCAATTTGGCTTACACTGAAGATCTTCAAAATGGTATTTTTCTTTGCTTGTTTTTTGGCAAGCATAACAGTGTGGGTCACAAAATGGTTATGAAAAACAAAGCAATAAACTCTTAAATTTTCATAGAATTAGTAGATGTAGGTCCTGATATACCTTGTTTTTTAAAAATAATATGATGATTTACATATGAAATTCTTCCTGTGTGAATTTAGTTTAGAAACTGTAATTGTGCTACAGTAGGAAAAAAATATCTTTATTAAATAGTTTTATTTAGTGTTTTTAGAAACCTTAATTGTGAGAAAAGTATAGCACACATAGCTGTGGAATTAAAGTAAATATGGAAAGAAATTTCCTCATGGGTGAAACAGCTGTGAAATCAAGGAACAGTTTAGGAGGATATGTTAATAAATGAAGGCCTTCTGTTTTTTCTTCTGCAAGTTAATTGTGTTCAAACTGTAACATTTTGTGGGAATATCATTCTAGTGAAGTATATCAAGTCTTTTCACCATTACCAACTGCTTTTTGAAGACTGATCCTTTGCAATAGTGAAGAATGTTTAGCATGGATGGATCAGGAAGCATTAGCAAGTGAACATAGAATCATAGAATAAGGTTGGAAAGAACCTTAAGATCATCTAGTTCCACTCTCCCTGCCATGGGTAGGGGCACCTCACACTAGCCAGTGTTGCCCAACACTGTCTATTCTTGCTTTGAACACTGCCAGGGACGGAGCAGGATCACCTCCTTCAACCTTCTGGTCATGCTTCTTTTGATGCAGCCCAGGATATGGCTGGTTTCTGGGCTGTAAGCACACACGGGTGATTTGCGTTCAGTTTCTCATTGACCAACACCCCCAAGTCTTTTTCCACAGGGCTGCTCTGAATCACTTCACTTCCCAGCGTGTAGCTGTGCCTGGGATTGCCCTGACCCAGGTATAGGACCTTGCGCTTCGCTTTGTTGCACTTCAAGAGATTGCATTGGCCCACCTCTCAAGTGTGTAAAGGTCCCTCTGGATGGCATCTGTTGTGTTGTATAAGAGACCTAGGGAAGTTTCCCATTTTCTAGGATTCAAGTGTGTTGCTTACTGGTTGTAAGAAATGGAGAAGTAAGCCAGATTTAACTGGGTAGTCCTTTTACTATTTACGCATTTTGACTTCTTGGCTGAGGACTAGAGAAGGGCCAATATCCAGAGAATGATCAGGAAGGTGTTAATCTGATAATTTCTCTGGAATGGGCTGGTGCTAGAAAGAACTGGTGAGAGTATTGTCTGCTGGCATGGCCAAGAGCAAAGAGAGAGTTCCCAGATGGGAGAATTTGAGGAGCTCCTTTTGAGAATATTGGGCATGGACTCCAGCAGGAAGTGCTGGGTTGTCATGGATGATAATAAAGGTTGAAGCTGAGTGTCAGCAGTGTTTGGAGAGGTTGGACCTGGCTGTATGGGTGGAGGTTTCTGTGAAAGCCTCTTCTGTGCTTCCTGAAGAGCTTGTGATGGCAAACGGGTTTGTATTTCTGCTGTGTAGTTACAGCTACCAGAATTGTGCTAGAAGGCAGTTCTGCTCTTCTGTAAACTTTGCACTTGTAATATTATTGCCCCAGAAGGAGTCAGGACAAAGGAGGAGTTTGCTTTGGTAGATGAGGATTGGCTTAGGGATCAGCTATGCAATCTGGACATCTATAAATCGATGGGTCTGGATGGAATGCATCCACGGGTGCTGAGGGAGCTGGCGGAGGTCATTGCTGGGCCACTCTCCATCATCTTTGGTAAGTCGTGGGAAACGGGAGAGGTGCCTGAGGATTGGAGGATGGCAAATGTCACACCAGTCTATAAGAAGGGCAAGAAGGAGGACCCGGGTAATTATAGACCGGTCAGCCTTACCTCCATCCCTGGAAAGGTGATGGAACAACTTCTTCTTGACTCCATTTCTAGGCATATCAAGGATGAGGGCGTTATTAAGAACAGCCAACATGGTTTTATGAGGGGGAAGTCATGTTTGACCAACCTTATAGCCTTCTATGAGGAAGTGACTAGGTGGAGGGATGATGGTAGAGCAGTAGATGTGGTATTTCTTGATTTCAGTAAGGCATTTGATACTGTCTCCCACAGCATCCTCATAGATAAGCTAAGGAAGTGTGGGCTTGACGATCAGGTAGTGAGGTGGATCAAGAACTGGTTGGAAGGAAGAAGGCAGAGAGTTGTGGTCAATGGTGCAGAGTCTAGCTGGAGGTCTGTGACTAGTGGAGTCCCTCAGGGGTTGGTGCTGGGACCAGTGCTGTTTAATATTTTCATCAACGACCTGGACGAGGGAACCGAGTGTACTCTCAGCAAGTTCGCTGATGACACTAAACTGGGAGGAGTGGCTGACACAGCAGAAGGCTGTGTTGCCATTCAGCGAGACCTGGACAGGCTGGAGAGTTGGGCAGGGAGAAATTTGATGAAATTCAACAAGGGCAAGTGTAGAGTCTTGCATCTGGGGAAGAACAACCCCATGTACCAGTACAGGCTGGGGACTGACCTGCTGGAAAGTAGCGAAGGGGAAAGGGACCTGTGGGTCCTGGTGGATAGGAGGATGAACATGAGCCAGCAATGTGCCCTTGTGGCCAAGAGGGCAAATGGCATCCTGGGGTGCATTAGAAAGGGTGTGGTTAGTAGGTCAAGAGAGGTTCTTCTCCCCCTCTATTCTGCCTTGGTTAGGCCACATGTGGAATATTGTGTCCAGTTGTGGGCCCCTCAGTTCAAGAAGGACAGGGAACTGCTTGAAAGAGTCCAGCACAGAGCCACAGAGATGATGAAGGGAGTGGAACACCTCCCTTATGAGGAGAGGCTGAAGGAGCTGGGTCTCTTCAGCTTGGAGAAGAGGAGCCTGAGGGGTGACCTCATCAGTGTTTACAAATATGTAACGGGTGGGAGTCAGGATGATGGAGCTAGGCTTTTTTCAGTGATATCCAGTGATAGGACAAGGGGCAATGGGTGTAAACTGGAGCACAGAAGGTTCCACGTTAACATCAGGAAGAACTTCTTTACTGTGAGAGTGACGGAGCACTGGAACAGGTTGCCCAGGGGGGTTGTGGAGTCTCCCACATTGGAGATATTCAAGGCCCACCTGGACAAGTTCCTGTGTGATGTACTCTAGGTTACCCTGCTCTTGCAGGGGGGTTGGACCAGATGATCTCTTGAGGTCCCTTCCAACCCTTGGGATTATGTGATGTGTGTTTAAAAGCTTTCCATGTTCTTAAGTCATAACAGAACTTTCAAAGGAGATGCAATTTTATTCATTAATAATTTTTCCTGCAGATTTGAGAATATTCATTCCTTCTGTTGTAACTGCCATTATATTTGTGTGTATTAGAACTTAATAACTTTAATTTTGTTTGGCCAGGAGAGTATATGAAGCATTATGTGTAATGTTAATCACATCTACTGATCAGAGTAAAGGGTTTATAGTTTAATCTAGAATTTAAATGTGGGCAGAGACAGGTTCAGGTCAACTCTTGAATGTTTCCAGTATATTGTCTTTCAAATAAGCTACTTGAGGTGCACACAGGATTTCAGTATACTATGAAGGAGGACCTAGGCTTCCATTCTGTGAAGTAAGTTTTGGTGAATTTCAGTTGAAAGTGACCAGTTAGTACATATTTAAAAAAAAAAAAAAAGGCTATTTGAAATATTAAACTAGTATCCTGCACTTGCACTCTTCTATTGTTAACTGTAGTTTATTTGTTGAAAACTGATTCGGAGAAAACTCCAGGAATGAACTTGCCAACAAAGTTTTCAAGCTGACAAGCAGGTATTCTTTATTGCGGCGCCAGGAGACACGGGGGATAACTCCTCCTAACGTGTCCCCGTATTGCTATACAAGCCACCCTTATATAGTCCCTGGGCATACATACATATTCATGAGGCTACGTATGGATTACATCATTTTCCAGAGAGTTCCCCGCATGTGTACAGAATTGTGGTGGTGGTCTCTGAGGGTTATTTACTTCTTCCAACAATCTTCATCACTTCTGGCAGCCTTTGAAGCACATGCAGTAGATGCTCATACCAGTTTAATTGGTTCATTAGCACCAGAGACATAATAATCCTCCTATCCTCCTACTTATCAGCTAGTTTAACTGTAGCCCACCCTGGACACCTGCCATTCCCAGATACTCCTTATCCCTGTGTCCTGTTCTTCTAGACTGTTTTTCTTAAAACTAGGCCAACTATAACGATTTATCTTGTGAGAATTCTCAGTATGTTCTCTAGTTGTACTCTATTTTTTTTCTCTATGTATCATGCACCTCAGTAATTTTCCATTGCTACTGTTACAAAGCCATCAAACTTAACATTACTTAAAATTACTTATAAAAGTTTCTATATCCCATTTTGTGATTTTGTGCCCCTTTGTCTCAAATTCCCCCCTTTTTCTGTCCTTTTGCAAATTCTTTTGCAACATTTTATATATTACCATTACCATCAAAAGTCTTTTTGAAATAATTTCCCGTTTCTACCTGGTGCTTAGTTTCATTCCTTTTCCAATCTTCGTAATTTATCATAGACCGTTTACAATACCAGAGGGAACATCATATCATACCACAAGTAATCAATATTAAAATAATT